CCTCATCTGCCGGCCATTCGTCCCCCTGCTGCTGTTCTCGTCATCAGAAATGGAAGTAGATGTTAACTTCCTCAAAGAAAGAGGATTGATCCTGCAGAACTTAGGCAAACAAATGCTATGCGTACAGCGGGGTTAACTGAAGTCAGTGGCATTGTCTATGTACATTGGATTTGAGGGGATCCAGTGCTAAGGGCAGTGCATAGGCTTTGGCTATGTCCTGGCCTATATGATTAACGTCGATTTAAGTCCCCTTAGGGCCAGATCCTGTAGCGTGTGCTCAGCACACAGATGTGTTGCATTGACTTCCACAGAAGTAGAGGAACTGAACACATCACTGGATGCATTCAAGTTTGCGCTTGGCAAGAAGGGACTCCCAAGTACTTAAAGCTAGCACAAGTGATAATGCATTATTATAACTATTATCTTGTTAGATGGCTGAATATGATACCACATACACTGGCCAAAATAATCTTCTGAAGCTCTGATTCTGTGGGGTTTGGTGCAGAAAACCCTAAAAAAACCTGCTGGGTATTGCATGGTACCCCCGTAAACTCAATGGAGCACTACTTGGATAAAGAAGTTACAGTCATGCTGAGCTGGAGTAAATTGAGAGTCTCCAGAAGATGTAGAGGATTTAAGTGTGTTTAGACACCAAATATCAACATGTAGAAATTTCAGCCTCAGGAAGTTTTAATGGAAGAAAGTAGCTTAATCACTTAGTATATTTTGCAACTTCAGCTGAAAGTTTAACATCACAAAATGACATATTGCTATGCAGCTTTAAGAATCGCACAATTGTATTCAATCATTTCCCATGTTTTTCAAGTCTACTGTTCATTAAAATCTCTTCTCCTGTTTGCAGTTTCTACTTTCCAAATGGATGACACAATCGATGCATAGCTTAATGTTCATTCTCATGAGTCATAATGAATAAATAATATCACAGACATAGAATTTTACAGGTACTCTTAAAATGGTTTTACAGTTCTATTAAATATATAGATAAAATAATCACTGCTATATAAAAAATCATTTTAAAACAGCTGAACTCTCAAGCTTTGCATAAAATTCTGTAGACACATTCATTATAATCTAGAAACTCAATAAAAATACATTTTAGAGCTCAATCCATCAAAAATATTCATGGCATTGAAAGTGATTGTCATTTTTTTACTGTAATCTGTGCTTGTCCTGTCTTTGCACTGATCATTTCCTACAATTTGGCAAAGGCTATATTCAATTCAGTTTGTAGACTATGTGACTGTTTAACTCATTTCTTCAACTCTAAGACATCTGCCCCATAAACGTCTAGCCAAGTTCTGTCTGTAATAGCATATCTTTCCTTGTACTTTCTATAAAATCACAATGAAACGCTTTGCAGTTAAGTTACATGACTACAATAACATTGCCATCCTATTATAGTTGTCTCCAAGTCTTTAATGGTCCTTCTGTGAACACCAAACATCCTTTATCCAGTGAACCTCAAGCACTTCCTGACACACTTCACAATACTCTGCTACCCATACATTTGCTCAACAACAACAGGTTTTAGAAATGGTCTTAACAGATCGGTACCCTTGCGTATCTGAATTCTGCTGCTAAATCAAGATGCCAAATGTGGTCAGCTCAAGCTTAGCATTTTTCAAAAACCCAGGCAAAAATTCAGGAAAAACTTCCTTATTCAGACAGTGCACATCTTTCTTGAAAAACAGAGAGATGATAGATTGCCCACCAGCCTTTAAAACCTCCACTACCTCAAGCCAGTCCTCTAGCCAGCAAGTTAAAACAGGCTTTGCCATAGTGAATGCTTCACAATCAGGCTTTTAGACTGTAAGCTCAGAATAGGACACAAAGTCTAACAACAAGCAATGTTTTCAGAATAGGGCACTTGCATTGAGGGACTGGGTCTTGCGCTGTGGAAGAAGAGATGCAGGCTTGAAAGTCAACTTAAGTGGGGGAAGCTGCTGCTTATGCAGATGTCACTTTTTGCAGTTCCAAGTAACGGCAAAACTCCTGAAGAGTTCATTCTCTTTTCATGCCCAGTTGACCATACCAGTATAATCACTCTTAACTCTTTACCCTGGATCTTCTTACCCATGGCATGGCTGAGTAAGGTACACTGCTTCTGTTATCGCAAAACCACAACCAAACAAGGAAAGCAACTTAATACCAAGTATCATGGACTAATTTAGTATTTTTTTCATCTATTTTGCATGGAAGAAACAATCTCCATCTCTTAATGGGATAGGCTGGAAAGCGTACATCAGGTTAAACATTGGGTGAGATGGTCAAGACAATTGCTGGATGCTGTTTGGCATTTAAACTGCTCGTTTCACTGTTTCAGTCACTGTTCATCAGTGGGAGGTAAGAAAGAAAACCCTGGGTTTTCTCCCTCTTAGAAGAAAATACTGTGTAATGAAATTGCCAGCATCAGTGCATTCCCATTCACTTTTCCATTCTTTATGGATGTCAGTTGTTCAGATGAGACATCCAAAGACCTCCTCATTCTGATTAATTTTCTTAAGAGGAAGGAGAGAAGACAGAAGGGAGCTTACTTGACTGAACTTTGAAAGCTGTAAAGGTCTATGAAGAGACTGTAATCCAACTACAGATAATCTCTGCTGAAGACTAAGAAACACGGAAGAACCAGAAAGATACAAAGGCTCAGAAAAAGTTGTCATAAACCAAAGGAGCCTATGAAGAGTGGCAAATAATGAAGAGCTGTCAACACTTTTGCTCCAAACTAATGTACGTTGCTACCTGCTGCTGTTAAATAGCTGCCATGCCCCAGCCTGGTATTCACTGGTTTTCAGGATAAGGATATAAAGTTTTTTGTATTAAGTTTTATTCTTTCAGAGAAAAAGCACTAGCCTTCAATGTTATATTTTAGCCTACTTCAAGAAAGCATCTTCAAAAATTCTAACATAGCTTTTCTTTTGGAAGGACATATTGCTGTCTTTCATCAACAAGCACAAACAAGTTCATGCATCACAAAATCAGATGACTCAAAATGTTGACTATTTTCATCAGCAAGTTGAAAGACTATTTTTATATTGATTTACACTGAATTAAGTTGGGAAGTTTGGATCTGTTCCTCACCAAGCACAAAGGATCTTACTTTTAGGTTCATGGGGTGAATCCAGCTCTAGTCAACAGTGACAGGACAGAATAGGCAAGATTTCACCTTTCTGTTGATTGAAAGAGGTTCAGAATTTTACCTTCAATGTTTAAGATCTCCTGCCATGCACTGCTGCTTTTGAATTCTAACTGCAGCTTGGAAGAAAAATCCCAGGGAAACAAAAAGCTTATAAAGAAGAATGAAGTGTGATGGACAGTTAGGATTACCCCATCAGATAACATGACTACAAACAGGTTTTAAATATCTGCAAATAAATTGCTGTATATTCTGATGTGTCCTCATCCCAGGTACTATTAGTTCAGCTGAAAACTAAGCCAAGGCAGAGATACACCTTATGCTAAAACAAAATGTGTAAAACTTATGGCCATATGTTGTAACTTTCACTCAATGTGAAATTACGAAACCCCTCATTTTATGAAGCACATTGCAGTCAACCTTACAAATTTTCAGGTGCAAGCAGCAATGCGACATAGTCTCATAAAGCATACTATGAAACTAAAATGTGCTGATGAAAAATGGTGACTTCACTAAAAGTCACACACAGAAAAGTTACTGCTATTAAATTGAATTTGAAGACTTCTCTTTTGTCCTGTAATGCACGGGTACGCCTCCTCTGGCAAAAAATCCTAAATCAAATATCCTAAAGTGATCACTGATGTGCACAAAAGTTTCAAGATGCAGAAGTGGCTCAACTGTGTCTATGGACAAGCCACAGGAGTCTCTTCAGTTGCACTAGAAAGTCAATACTGGCTGTCAACATTTCTCTGTATTTAGTTTTACATCTGTCATTTCTTCCTCTATGGATATGGGCACTTACAGGATATTTGTAATCCTTTTACCATGCACTTGTGCCCTAACAGTAGCCTCAGCAAATTAGGTTACCTATTATTTTTTGTATCTATTTTCAAAAAAGAGAAATCTTCACATGGTCTGGTAAATAAAAGCAGCAGAGAAAAGGAAGCAGAAGCAGCCTCAGAAGCAGTGAGGTACTTTTTTAAAAAAATACAAAACCAGAACCATGGTATCTGTTCCTGATAAAATTATTAAGCTTCTTGAACATCTTTTCAAAGATGGCCACCATCAGTAATGTACAAAAAGTGTATTTCTTCAGGTATTCTCTACAGAAGTTTCTGGGCTAAGATTTCTCCTATGATCCCTCCTAAGAAGCAGCTAGCGTGTATGTTCTTCACACTTCTCCACACCCAATTTACTCCTGCAAATTAAACATAACAAAAGGTGCACGATAAAAATGAATTTAAATCCTAAAATACCAAACTCCCCTACCCAAATAAACCCTCAGTCTGATTTTGTTGCTCCACTGAATTGCCACTGGAATTGTAATCAATTCCTGGGGTCAGCATGTTCCACCACCTGCAGCTCTGCTCTGCCTCCAGCTCTCTCAAAGAATTTCATGGAAAATGGGAAAAAGCATTTCTAGCCTTGCCCTTGCAGGTGGGCCAGATTCATGGGCAAGTCAACACCACCCCTCTTCCACAGCTGTCAGGCCCTACATAGGTAAATGAAGCCAGAGGAATAATTTTTGAAGACTAGAGCTCTGAATTGTTCATATTTCTACTGATAATTATCTGGTTTTATTTAGCATCTTATAAAGCAAGGCACAAATGTACAAAATCGCGTCTACTAAATCAGGTCATTTTTATATATATTTACAGAATTATCATAATATAAAATGTGCTTAGACACTGTCATAGCACAACAGTAGAGGGATTGAGGACAACCTGATAATAAACACAAATACCAGGTCCTACATATCTGGTTGTGCTTCACCTGAAGGAACATATTCATATGCAGATACACAGAGCAATCCAGCCACCGTCCTTTATTCTACGCCTCACAGAGATCAAACTTTCTTGCTAAGAAGCTGTGGAAGGAGTAAAAGGCAGTAGACCAGCGCCCAGAAGAAAATGATGAAGTAGAATATCTCTGGCTGCTCAACAATCGTAATCTCATGAGTTGGTGCTGGAGTCTCACTTGCTTCCAAGTCCTTTTTCTTCCTGAAAACAGGAGAGAATTTGATAAGAGGCAGGAAAAAGAAGAAAAAGCCCTTCTGGTTAATAGTTACTGTAAAGATTAGAGGGTGGACTAAAAGACAGCAGTTTAATGAACCATTTCAATCTAGTCAGTTGGAGTCCAAGCTAGACTATGAGGTGCATAATGGGCTTTAGCAGTGTGTTCCCTTAGGAGCCAATGTACATGGCAATTAATCCTCTGAAAACTTTGGACAAATTCTCAGATAGTCTAAATACATGCCATTACAGTACAGTCCTTTGACATAAGGTGATTTCCATCAGTCAAAAGGATGCCCTTTTATATTCAGAACAGTAAACATAGCTCTGGGAAACACATATCACACTTTCACAATTATACTTATACACTGTATCTGACTTGATACGCTTTCCCCGAATCATCTACTTCCAGAGCTTCTTATGTCAGACACCAGAACATTAAACAGAAAAAGCCCAAGACTTCCAGAAACCAACTAGCAGTTGAGGGTTTGTAGGAGAACTCCAAAATGCCAACTTGCCAAAATTCCAGCTGTGGTTCATAAGGGCAAAGCCCAACGGACTCTGCCAGCACCACTGAGCACTCACAAAGATAAGAAAAGGTCTTATTTAAAAAGGCACAAGATGATACACTTATTTTATAATTTTATACTACTATATGAATCACCCTCTGGTAGACTTCTTTTTAATCTACTTTTGTAGAAAACTGTTTTTTGGCCTGTTTTAATGAGTCCTTCTTCTGGCTTGGAGCATCCTACTTGCTCAGGTATTACACTGGATATATACCTGAGCATTACACAAAACTTGCTCAATATCAGCAGTCTGCAAACAGGCATAATTGTGATAGCTATTAATGTATTTTTTTAACAGAAGTGTAAGTGAGACCAGGACACTGGATCCTGATAATATTTTGTGTGTTTTCTGCATTTAAATGCAACATCGTTTTAACTAGAAGTTCTGGGAGGTACTATTCAGTCTCAACTGAATATGACAAGGTGACCCACTTAGTGGATGAGGGGAAGGCTGTGGATGTTGTCTACTTGGACTTTAGTAAAGCCTGTGACACAGCCTCCCACAGCATTCTCCTGGAGAAACTGGCTGCTCATGGCTTGGATAAGTGCACTCTGCGCTGGTATAAACTGGGGCGGCGCGGCCGATCCCAGAGAGGGGTG